ATTTCTGCGTTGCCTACATGCGTCCCTAGTATATGCACAAAACCGTTTTCAAAAAGCGCACTTGCCCTGAAAGACCTCCCTTGCAAGAGCAGTAATGTTTCGTAGAGACGTGGAGACTGCCATGAATTTAATTAACAATCGGACCACTTACCAACGTTGAATAGAGTACAACCGGAAGTAAAATTATTCGAAATAAACATTTACAATTTAGTTCGTTGTATGGTCTGTGTCAAGAGAAATGGTCGTCTCTGTTTCTAATATTGGCCATGATGGACACATTATCGTCTACATGTCAGACCACGATTGCCTGATAAAGAAGCAAGGAATCAAAGACTTGGTCGGAAAATTTCTTAGCTTGTCGGGAAGCCTTTGCGCATTCACATCTGCGTATTGTGAAATTCCGAAGGATGTTTTGAACAACTTTGTGAAATGTATTGAAGGCTGATCATTGATACATTCATAGCATTTTTGCTGTATCACTTCGCAGTGATTGCAAATGAAAGTAGCCCCCGCTTTACTAAAAACATATTCAACTGCTCCTGCTTCTGTGATATGAACCCGGAAAGGGCGTCTATAGAAATGATGCGACAAGCAGAAACATTGCCCAAGCGTTGCGATGGTCCTCCAGAGTGTTTTTTGCGACATGGTGGATTTTTATAAGGTTGTCTCAAAAGTTCGTGCATATTTTGAACTTCTTTTGGAGCCTACTCTATTTCATCAGCACACCTGCACACTACCTATAATCACTATATGTACCACCACTATCAGTGACTTGTTACCAACATCCAACCGAGCATTGGCTCGTTCACTCTCAAAAGCTGCAAGTACGAGCTGAAACAGGCGAGTCAACTATAACTTACACACACCACCCCAGCATACACAGCTTGTGGGAATCGTATTTTTTGTCGCAAGAAGGCGGCTGAGCGAGAAAATGGCAGATGTCTTTCGAAAGAGGCTGACTACCGCTGCACGATGAATGTGGTAGGACTTTTCAGCTGGCTTCGATATTCAGAATCGCTTCATTTTCGAAATGTGTGGTCTCGGGTGTCGTGGAGCGTACACACTTTTTCGAGTTTTAACGACAGTTGTTGGGGTTTCACCGTGAGTCTCTGCCGTTGATCTCCCTACACTTGAGTGAATTCATAGCTATAATGATTGACATGTCTCTAGTGGTTTACTCGAGAACGCTCCAAAAGAGGTGGAGCACGACCTTGTGGTGAATTTCTTCACTTTTCACCCTCTTCTGTTCGATCCAGTCCCTGGGATTCTAGGTGTGGTTGTCATGAAACCTGAGCTTCTCAACTGCAGTAGTGGCTTTGTTCAACCAGGGCGTACGGGTGGAGTAGGAACCAAATTATGGACGGAGTGCGTGTCGCACTCCTGTCATCGGTGGTCAATTCATGGGGGAATCTTTGGCAAGGCTTCAACCCTTTTACGAAGGAGCGAGAACCTCTATGAACTGTGCATCTGAAACAGCAGGGTGTAGCGGCCACATAGCAGGTCCCCGTGTGGATTAGCTCCCACGAAAAAGCGCAGGCTCTCCATATCGAATACCGATGTCCTCCCTGAACTAGGATTTTTCTACAGACTGTAGTCTCCTGAGCAACAGAAGATCCATCCATTCTGATACCTCATGTTGGTGAGACAAGGAGGATGTATCGCGATGCAGATGCCGCTTCAGGCTTCAATCGGTTTGTGGCTCAGTAGAGCTGCTTAGTCAGAGCGCGAAAAACATAGCTCTTTTCTTTTTCACTTTGAACTCGAAGAAGGCGACTAGGGTGGGCATGATTCGGTTATAAGTTACTGCACGTTGTGCCCTCTCTAAAGTACGTGAACATAATTAGAATTTGCTGAAGGAGCTTGTGGCATGAGATCCAAAAAATATGCACGAACTTTTGAGACAACCTAATAATTGCGAAAGTCCAGAAATATGAGAAAAAATGCAAGTCTGTTCATCCTGCCACACTCATTGACGAGTTCTTCTGAAGCTTTTCGATAGTGTCCGAGGCAAAGTGCACGGAAAGTTGCAAAGCTCCTCCAGAGCTGGCACAACGCTTAGCTGTTCCTCAATATTGCCTCGAAGTGAATTTTCGGCCAAAGGTATTTTGTAATCTGGCCGACCACCAGCTCCAAAGGCAAAAAAAATTCTGCATGAACATTTCGGCTTACCGCCAGTATCTCATTTGACCCGACAAATGAGATACTGGCGGTAAGCCGCCAATATCTCATTTGTCGGGTCAAATGAGAATTGGCCCGGTGGGAACCGCATAGCTCGAAAATTAAGGATTCCTTACCGAGCCCAGCACTGCAACCTCGCAGGGATCTTTCTAGGCTCTCAAATGGTCCCTGTGGTCCCAAATCGATCGCAAATACTTCTGAAGCCTATCGCGCGATCTCCACAGCTGGCAAGAGGGGCTTGGAACCGGTGGCCCCACTCCCACTTCAAAGCGTTCAAGTCCCTTTCGAGGCTTTCTAGGGTGGGTTCTGTTCCATTTCGTATGTCTTGCTATCGGGTAGTGCATTGCCTCAGCACAATTAATGTCGAAGGTGAGAACAAAGCTGGGGCTATTGCTTCAAAGAAAGCGGTCTGTTTGTGTGAAGGATGTGTGGAACTTTTATCTACCACTGTTTCAGAGGTGGATAAAAGTTCCACACACCACTGACGGAGAGGGATAGGATAAGGTATCTTCGGCATGGAAATGATTATCGAACGAGAACGGCTAACTTCCACATGACCCACGCACCTCCCTTTTACGTCCGAGGTGTGCAGGCAGGAACATGCGAAGCTGAAGAGCTCGTTTCCGGTTCCTTTTAGCAGTGGGCCGTATATGCTCCGTTATACGAAGTTTTACGACACCAGTTTTGCTCCGCCCGCTATCGCGCGCATCACACGGCAGGCTTTAGCGAAACTGGAGGACCCATGGAATATCAGCATGAGGTACTCCATTAACCACCTCACTATTGAATGTGTTAGACCTTTCCCAGTTTCGCTGAAGTCCATCGAGAATACGCGTGATAACGTCTGGAGCTGAACTGGCATATTTATCTCACAACTGTAAACATCCAGCATTCTTCTTGAATTCAGATAATTTAGCGGTGAATAGGATTGCTGTCAGTCTCAAAATAAAACGAAATATGCCTATTTACATAAGTGAGGAGCTAAGGCTTATCATTTATTTACATTCACCATTATTTAGAACCCCGAAAGGATTAGCGGTTTAATGAGTTTGGGCTTTCGTGATAGAAATGAAACTTATCATTTGCTGAAGACTGATTGAGTTTATGCAATAGACTGCTATTAAGTAAGCTGGTCATACAATGATACAATGTGCACGTACCACTACAAATAGAATTTGTAAGTAGGGACGCTCTAGTGTCAGCGCAAGCTACGTAACGGAATCGACGACTTTTGCGTTCTGACGCGCCTTATCAGCCTTTATCAGTTGTACCTTCCAATCACCTACCAATGTTCCCGTCCCATCCCACATAACACTTGTAAGTATGGATGCTCTGGTGTCAACGCGAGCTGGGTAACGGAATCGACGACTTTTGCGTTCTGACGCGCCTTATCAGCCTTTATCAGTTGTAACCACTTTCCATCACCTACCAACAATGTCCCCGTCCCACCCCACATAACACTTGTAAGTATGGTTGCTCTGGTGTCAATGCGAGCCAGGAAACGGAATCGACGACTTTTGCGTTCTAACGCATCTTATCAGCCCTTATCAGTTGCTATCGCTTCCATTCATGTACCACCAATGTCCCGGGACCCACCCCACATAACACTTGTAAGTATAGACGCTCTAGTACCAATATGAACGACAAAACGAAATTGGCGATGCTCGCTTTCTAGCCCCTCTTATCAGCTATTATCAGTCGTTATCAGTTCCTATCACATACCACTTGTGTCCCCATCCCACCCCCTATAACATATGTAAGAACCATGGCGCTATCATTGCTGTGACCCGAGAAATTTCCGGTCAGACAGACAAACACACACACAGACACACACGCAAGACGGGAGAGCGCTCAGCGGATTATACACTACGGCGGGCGGTCAAAAGCGTTCGCCGAAACGGTTTTCGTGCTCCTCCTTTTTTTTTGCCAGAAAAACAGCCTAAGGTGGACCTCGAAAATTTTTCATCGAACATCCTAATTCTTTAAAAGTTTGAGGATATGAAAACACTAGAAAACACAGTATATCAATCTCTGGAGGGCGTTGCTCAAGCGAGAAAAAATAATGTACTAAAAATCTTTTCGGCGAACACTTTTGACCGCTACTGTATATAGTAGGATTGTTTAGCACTCCCTCCCAATCATTCAGGCGACTATTCCACTCGTTTCGGCAAAATTTATCGCGATCGCTTCCTTCGAAGAAAGTTGACCCCATGGTATGCAGTAAATTTGGCTTCATCGGACAACCATCTGCCTCTGTTGCTGTCGAACCAGCTGAAAGATGAGAGCTTCAATGAAGCGGACCTACTCGAAAATGAACTCAAGTTTTTTCGCCTCAAAGTCAGGATTGCTGAACAGACAGCTTTCACAATTTACCTGGCTTAAGATAACGATGCTGAAAGCTAATGCTTGCCAGACATCTGCTAACTAGGTTGGCGGTGCTAAAAAAGTAATATATTCAGGAGAAAATAAAAAATGCACAAAGGCTTCCTGACAACCTGGTTTGCGCGGCAACTTTGCATTCAAATGAATAATCATCCATTTTAGGGTGAGAACAATGGAGTTGTGCACCAAATTCATGTCGACATACCAATCAGTGGTGTGAACACAGGGAAAAAAATATTTATCACGTACCAGACTGCACGTTCTCGAACGCGACCGCCAACCTTGGCTACGGTACGCCAGAGCAATTAGCAGCCAACTTCATTTTCAGCTTGAAGTAGAACGAACGCTGCAGGTAGACATAGACACGTAGACAAAGTAAATTTTTAAGTGAAGAATGTGGTAAGTAACGTCTTGAGCTTATGATCTGTATGTTTCGCATGGTCCGCAAACTCTTTGACTACATCTCTAAGCTATCCTCAAAAGCGGCTTACTGATAAATCGGACTTAATACACACGGTGGCCGCAAAAGAATGGCTTTTTTTGCCAGGGCTTGTCCAACTTCAGTCCATTAGTGGTTTGGTTTTTTATGAATGTTCAGACTGATATCCCTTCCAACATGCTAATTGGGTACCTTTCCAGCCAGGGTCAATCCTATGTTGCGACAAGTACCAACGGAGGGGTCGTTTGTTGTGAGTTTGTAGGTGGGGGGGGGGTCATATTTGATGTAATTATATAGAATTTCTGAGTGAGTTCAGGGGGCGTAGTGTGAAGGAGCGGGGAAAATTTTGCGGTTTCGCTGTACGTATACAGTGCATACAAAAGACACCCTGACATCGAGTTCTCGGGGGGATAGCTAAAGATTTTATGTCATGAAAACTCCACCATTCATTTCCCAGGAGTCGATAACCTTCAATGAATATTTCAGCAAAAGATTTCGTTCGAATTTAGCAGGATATTTTTAATGAAAAAAATTTTCTTTGTATCAAAAGTATGTGAACACCTTGATGTAGATGAGGTTTCTGAGCCAACCCCCTATCCTATTTTTATTTCTCCCTGTGTTGCTTATGCCTTCATTTCTCTTCACAGCAACCATTTTTCTAGGAAGACCAAGCACAGATATGAAGCCCTCACGTTGGTGAACCTTCCAATGCAAAATCGCACGTCAACTTGGCCGTGCTTCTTGGTGTGCTGAAAAAGAGGTCGGAATCCTTACGCTATCACCTGTATCACCTGTCGTCCCGTTGATCGTCGATTTGCTCGAGCGGGCGCCAGCAACGTCTCCATTCGTCCCTGTCGCGTGCTAGAGTGGTCCAGTGGATCCTCCGCTCGAGGGACACGAAGTCCTTCATTCCTTTCGTTCAGAGCTTTCGTGAAGAAGTCTGACCATCGGGCCGGCGGTCGTCCAGGTGTTCGTTTGACGTCCCGAGGGATCCAGTCGGTAACCGCTCTGGTCCAACGGTCATCGCAAAATCGCATGACGTGTCCGGCCCACCTTATCTTCGATTCCTTGGCGAAAACGGCAGCGTCCCTGATCTTCGATCGTTGGCGTAGTTCGGCACTCCGGATTCCCCTCTGCACTTGCGTGTATAGGGTTACTCCTAGCATCGTCCTCTCGACAGCGCGTTGGATAACGCTGACCGCATGCTCGTCCTGCCTGCGCAGAGTCCAAGTCTCTGAGGCGTAGGTTAGGGCAGGAAGGACAGCGGAATCGAAGAGGTGGGCACGGAGCCGGATGTTCTTCGTCTTCTTCACTACTCCCTCGATGTTCTTATACGCTCCCCAAGCCGCTCGTTTCCTCCTGCTCAGCTCTGGAGCTAGGTCGTTCATACATTAATGAACCTTCCAGACTAGATACTTAGTTGGAGCATTCGGGTAATGTTCGCTCGTAAGCGTGATGGGGCATCGAGGTCAATAAACATAACATTTCATGTTTCAAACACCTTTTCTCATAAACATCGTCTTCGTTAGGTTCAGCTGCAGACCGAACCTTACCACAGGCGCAGTCGAAATCAGCCAGCATTCGCTCCGCTTGCTCGATGTTCGGCGTTATAAGAACGATGTCGTCAGCAAAACGAAGGTGGTGTAGTTGCCGGCCGTCGACCTTCACTCCCATGTCTTCCCATTCCAGTTGACGCATGACGTTCTCGAGAGCGGCGCTGAAGAGTTTGGGCGAGATGGTGTCGCCCTGTCGGACCCCTCTCTTGACGTCGATGATGACCTCCTTGTAGAATGGTGAGATTCTGGTCGTAAAGTTGCTGTAGAGCTCACGAAGAATCTTGATGTACTGAGTAGGGACGCCCTGGTTGCCCAAGGCTTCGATGACCGCTTCTGTCTCCACAGAGTCGAAGGCCTTCTTCAAGTCGATGAACGTGAGACAAAGCGGCATCTTGTACTCTCGTGAAACTTCAATGAGTCTTGTAACCGTGTGGATATGGTCGATCGTGCTGAACCCTCTTCGAAACCCTGCTTGCTCGCATGGCTGTCCTTCATCTAGTATTCTGCCGATCCCTGTTAAGGATGACTCGAGTGAATAGCTTGTAGATTACAGACAGCAGGCAGATTGGGCGATAGTTGCCAATGTCGTCCAAGTCTCCCTTCTTGTACAGCAACACGGTCCTGCTGGTTTTCCACGGAGTGGGTACCTTGCATTCCGACAGGTAGCGCGTGAAGAGTCGAGCCAGAGTTTTGATGATAACTGGCGGTGCATTCTTCAGATGTTCCGGTTTACCCTGTCGAGACCGGGTGCTGTACGATTCTTCACCGACTTGATGGCGTGTCGGACTTCGGAAGAGAGAACTGAGGGGACGACGTATCCATCCTGTTGCAGTTGATAAGTAGGCAGATGGACATGGCTATCGAAGAGATCCGAGTAGAAGTCGTGGATGACTTTCTCCATTGCCCTTCGGGATGCAGTAACTGTTCCATCCGGACGTCGGAGGCAGGTCATCTTGGTCTTGTAGCTGGCAAAGCTTCGGCGGGCATTGCGGATGCTCCTCCCAGCCTCTGCTGCTTCAGCTAATACTGCTGCTCTTCGCTCCTTGAGATCTTCCTTTATCGCCTCTCTGCATAGCTTCGCAAGCTCGGACGTGAGTCGGTGATTGCCTGCAGCTCGTGCGGCTCCACGTTGGCGTATCAGCGAGAGTTTCAGACGTCCCTTGGTGACTTTCAAACTCTCTGCCTTCCTGCCACAATCGTGAAGATGTTCAACGAGCCGATAGTATTCCTCGTCGATGTTTTCGATGACGGAATCCTCCCATAAGCTGACGAGGGAAGTGAAGTGGTCCCAGTTGATGACTGTCCTGGGGCTTCGCTTCCTGAACTTTGCTGCTCTCTCAACACGCATCGAGAAGTGGAATCTTGCGCGGAGGAGACGATGGTCCGATCCCGTGTAGAACTTTGGAACAACAGCGACGTCGGTCAGGCAAAACCTTCCATTGAAGATGATGTGTTCTGATTCCTTGTAGAACTTCTCCAATTCCATATAAAATGCTTCGTGTTCCTCCTTCGTCGTAGCTGGATGTTGGTGCGTAGGCGACGAAGATTGTCAAAGCAGGAGTTGAACCACATCTTCTCAATCTCAAACGTCCGATTCGGGTCGTTAAGGCTTTCGTACGAATCGATGTTTATGGCCAAGTGCGTTTTTCATTTTCTTCGTTTAGGCAGCCTGTCCGGGCCCTGAGATTCTAGCAGCCTCTCCCGAGCGGTCCTACCCAACGCTGCCGTATTGGGGGCTCCCTCAGGTTCAGGGGAATGAGGCCCATTTGTCTTGCTGTTTTCGGCATATTGAAGGCACTTGAGGGGCTTTGGTTTTGGAGGCAGTCCCGCCTCCCATGTACTTCCCAGTCACTTGAATGCAAGCTTTTGGCTGTGCCGACATGCAGGATACCAACCGCACACACACAGCGCACCACACACGCAAGCATGCATGGATACGCCTGAGTGGAGACAGCTGGTATGAATCAACACAGCACTACAGAAACAGGGAGTCCATCCCCTGAATCCACCTGCGTCTCAGGGCAAGTACATGGTGGCTTTTGGTCCGCGATTTACCCCCTATCCGCCACCTGGGGTCGCGCCACGTAGCCTCGCCACCAACCGGCTCTTTCAGTGAGAGAGGACCCTCAGTGAAAGAGATCCGTGGTTTTTACTCATATTTCGACAAAATCTTACAGCCACTTTTTAAAAACGCTGATATCCAACAATAATCCTCACTACTTTCGCGGCTCTCGCCATACCTAGTAAAGATTTCAAAATTGAAGGCACGCTTCTGGATAAAATAGGTGTGGAAGAGCGTTCAGTAATGAAGGTAGAGGTGGCAGTGGTCTGGGAGAGTAAGAGAAATCAAGAGAAACCCTCGATAACGCCACGAATAAGGACTTCCTCCATTTCAGCTGCACTCTAGCTTAGAATAGATAAAGAGCGTGAGTTTCCGTTGGAAGCTAGCTTTACCTGCTCCAGAGCCACTGTACCCCAATGCGACCGCTGCCGCAACTGCGCCCGCGCTTTTCAAGCAGCGCCACCTGGTAACCAACAGCGGAAGGCGGGGCCTGTGTACGGAGGAGGGGGTTGAAGTGAGCTTTTCAAGCCGTAGAAACAGCGCGACATCAACGCTTGTCCGCCTGTCTACTACGCTCGGGTATGGAACATGTTAGCGTGCCTCATCCCGGAGTGTGCCTTTAACGCAGCACATGACATTTTTCGAAGATGTGAGATTAAACGAATAGTTAGTAAGTATCATGAGCTAGTTCATTCCTGCCCTGATAGGAGTGAAAAGAAACAGAAGTAGTGCGGGATAGTCGTTGAGGAATCTAGTATTCAAGGCTCGAAAAGCGGGAGTGGTTGATATAGAGCAAAGCTGGTAGTATCTTGGGATACAGTAGAAAACGTGCTGCGAAATCTGATGAGGTCTAATGCATCAATGAACTGTCAAAGAATCTTCCTAACAACCTAATAATTAATCAAGTTTTACTTGTGAGAATAGACTATTCGGACGCGTGTCCTGAATGGTGTAAGTTTTCGCGCAAAAGTCACCTCGTCGCGTGAATTTTTAGTATTTCTGTTCAGGCCCCACCAACACCAAACATTTCCGCTTGTTCTACGACTCAGACAACGACCGTCACATGGGAATTAGCGAAAATTTGTCATTTGGTAGGGACTATTTTCGACATCACATATGTATGGAGTAAATTGCGACAGCAGGAAATTGTGTTTTCTTGAGTCGCATTTGGTCAGTATCCATTTCTGCGGGCGGAAGTGGTGTAGTGGCAAGTGGCACGCTTACACGCGAGCGGTCCGGGGATCAAATCCTGGGTCGTGAGTCGCCCGGGCCAACCAAGCCTTCCATCCCTCCGGGGTCGGTTAATTGGTACCAGACTTGTCTGGGAGGATAAAAACACTGACTTGTACATCGGCTGGCCCCCGCAAGTCATTGTATAGGCCACATCGCATTCAAACGCCACTACGAATGTACAAATGGAAGTAGAATGCGTGCCGCATCCCAAAAAGGGATTGATCAACGGCAAATGCTTTATCCTTTATCCTTTCTGGAAAGCATGCAAGACGCAATAAACAGTGTAAAACAGTGTATATCGCAACCGTATGGGCAGATACATAAGGTGGCCTGTCTGCCTCGTCACTTGTTCTAATCTTTGACGGAAACATTTTTCATGGTTTTTCAAGACTGTTCTCTTTTGAAACCAATATCGAGTAGCTGAGAAACTTGTAGAATATGGGAGTTTTGAATTCGCAGTCATTGTTTTGAAAGTTGTAGTCATACACAATACACTCGGGTCGCTGGTTTCGTCGGCATCGGCACTAATACAGCGTACCAAATTTGTTAAAATTTGTATTCAGCGGTTTTTCAGTGTCCTGATTACGAACATGTCCCTCTGTTGAAAGCGTGCGTCGAATTTAAAACCGCAACGATAAACAAACCTTGTGAATATCTCTAACAGCTCTGCCTAGAAATGCTGACGCTAGGTTACCGAAAAAAAAATCGCCGCTCATAATGTAAATCGACAGTCGTAATTACTAACATTATTCACCTTCACAGAAGAAGTTGTCCACATTGTCCTCAAACCTACATCATTACCAAGAATGCCGCCTTCCAAAGCACACTACTTATGGTTGAACCTTTTTGGTCTCAAAGACAAAATCTTACTTTCACTAAAAACTTGCCTTCACGGTAGGTTCACCTACAGAATAGTGCACCCGTTCATGTAAAATCACCTGGCTAGTGTTTTATGGTCAGTGCCAGAAGCTTAGAGCCAGAAATCCAAAGAAATCCTCTTCGGAATAATCGTGATTCTATTTCACCCATAAATCAGTGGCTTGGACCTATTCTTCACGATAAGAACGAAAAGAACAAAATTGCCTTGTTGGGTGAAAAAAATTCGAAAAACCGAAAGGGCTGCTACGCGTTCAAAGTACCGCTGGACATCTGTCTAATGCGTAAGAACTCTTTCCGGCCTTTCGACTTGTTGCAGTAACATCTCACACTTCCACTGCATCCTTTTCTATTGATCGATTTATCTCTGCTTTCCAAAATTGTCCTCGGGGATTTCAATCTTGATATTGACTGGCATACCTCTACTACTTCTAACCTTGGGGCACAAAAGTTCCTTACCGTTTTTGAAAACCTCTCTTTAAATCAGCATGTCAACTTCCCCACCAGAGAAAACAGGATCCTCGACCTCATCTTGGCGGATGCGCCCTGCATCTCTGACGTCGCCTCACACGCTCCCCTATCAACTTCGGACCACAATATTATTTCCTTCACAGTGTCCTCCCTTTGGCTGAAGAGTGAAAGCATTCTGTACAGAGATTTCAAAGGCCGCAGGACGCGCAGAAAAAATAAAGCATGAGCTCGGAAATCTAAACTGGATGCAGATCTTGAATAATTATGTTGACATCGATGATGTCTATTGCTCGATTTGCTGCCATTATACGTGATATCATTGATCGCTATGTCCCCCAGCGCAAACTTGAGAAGAATGCGTCTGCTAGATATCCTAAGCATATCGTAAACCTTTTTGAGCAGCGCGACCGGCTCTTTCAACAACGGCCACAGCCGTCTACAAGTCCGTACTTCCTTGAGATTTCGAAAATTAGATCCATGTTAAGCGCTTTTTAGCTCATAAAAAACAAGAAAAGACTGTGCGAAGACGATCATCATATGAAAAAGCTCTTTGACTACATCAAAAAAGTCAAAGCAAGCTCTAGTGCACATCAAATTCTTGAAGACTCTGAAGGAAAAAAGTACTCAACTGATCTCGAGAAAGCCGAAGCTCTTGCAAACTATTTTGCCAGTGTGTATGGAAAACCTTCGGAATGCGCCTTGCCATTACCTCCTGTTTCTTCCGGTTGCTTTGTACTGCCCACCATTTCTCCGAGCAAGGTGCTCAAATATCTGAGAACTCTTAAGCCGTCGCTCTCACTCACAGCCGATGGGATACCTCAGGTTTTTTTCAAAGATTACTCAAAGTATCTCGCAGTCCCTCTAGCGCACATTTTTAACCTTATTCTTCTGCAAAGTCAAATCCCAGCTATCTGGAAGAAATCTTTTGTCACTCCAATTCCTAAAAAAGCCAGCGGAAACCTCGTATCGAACTTCAGACCTATAAGTATACTGCCTACTCCATTGAAAATTTTTGAAAAAATAGTCAAGAAAGAGCTTCTTGAATGGGTCACTAAACTCAACCTTATCGCGCCTGAGCAGCATGGCTTCCTTCCTGGAGCGTCCACATGTACGCAGTTACTCAGTTGTACTCACGCCTGGATTGAAGCCCTCAACAGTGGAAAAAATGTTGACATTGTTTATTTTGATTTAAGCAAAGCCTTTGATAAGGTGGGACACTCAAGGCTGTTGGCCAGGCTTGAGAGTATTGGAATCAGGGATGGTACCTTGAAGTTATTCAGATCATACCCTAGTACTAGGGCTGGGCAATTTTCTGCGTGTTGCGTTATTTGGAGACAGTAGGTTCGACGGGTAGGACAGAGATTGCTCCTGTCATGGAGTTCCTCAGGGAGGACGGGGGGCGCGTTGCTCATTCGTCTGCACTGGCCTTGTTCTGACCTTTACACTTATGATTCTGCCTGGTATCACCTCCTCAATATTCGGACAACGAGCAGAATCCACTTGTTGGACGGTTTTGCGTCGATGACTTATGCATCCATATCAAAGTAGCAGTGATCTATGAGCAAAAGGAAAGACATGAAGCTCAGGTTGCGCTGAACAATTCTGTTGAGAGGATGCTTAGTTGGGCCCTCTCCTGGGGGTTAGAAATCAATACCAGCAAAGCGTACTATTTCTTTTTCATCTGGGAGTCATCCCCACTCGAAGTATGCTTCCCGGATAGGTCTATCATAAAGCATAGTGAGGTAATGAAGGACTTAGGAAATCAATCTGTCGAAAAGTTTGTGTTGGAGCGCCCACGTAGACGAAGTTAGTAACAAAGCGCTCAGGTTGGTCTATCTCCTATATAGAAATATATACTGTGCCGATATTGCTGTGTGGATCAGACTCTTCAAATCATGTATTCTTCCCATTGTTGAATACTGCAGCCCCGTTTGGAGTCCACACCTTGTCAAAGACATTCAAAAGCTCGAAAATGTTCAGAAAACTTTTACTCGGATCTTGTATTATAAAGTTTTTCCCAGTACGACCTACCCTGAATACTCTTGCCCTCTTATTAGAACTCGTCTCCGGGAATTAAATTTGAAGAGTCTTTTTCACAGAAGGATTATATCTGATCTGGTTTTTGCATTTAAGATACTTAAAGGCGAACTGCGACTCCGGCCATCAGAGTTTTGGGTATTTCGACCTACTAGTGGACGACGAGGCGGCTTCCAGTTTTTCGGTCATAAAATGGGCAAACTCCAGAAACAACTCCGTTACAACTGCTTCATCTTACGCACAACCCGTTGGCTGTCACGTCTGCCTCCATCCGTTTTTTCATGTGAAAACTCTTCTCAGTTCAAAGCAGCCTTGAACAGACTAGATATGTTGGAAACTCTTGGCGTGGAAGACGTAACGTAGCTCTTACAATTGGCCTTGTTCCTATAATGTACACTCCTTTTGGTCGCTCAAACAGAGTAGCTTTCTCACTTGTCCCATCTTGGCGTGAATGGTACTTTTGATTCCTCTCGATTGACAAATCGCTAATTATCTCCAAATGAAATGGTCATGAGGTCTCTGGTCTGAGTCATGGTATGCTGCGCGGCGGGTTTTGCCAAGTTTATCGGTTCCACGTGGGTGGTCGGCATACCCGTGTTTCGAAGTGCCGATGAGCTCCCATGACCCCGTCAGTGGCGCAAAGGGCATCATGGCCGACTGGTGCTGGCTTACCCTGCAGCGTGTATCCCATTTATCTCCAGGCCAGAGCCTTCATAGCCCTTTGAGATTTTAACTCAAAGTTAGTGTCAGTTCCAGTAAGTACAGTGCCATTCTTACTTTTCGGCTCTTGATTTGGGGAAAGCTTCCTGCCTGAACGACTTTCTTTCGTTTGTATTCTCTTGTTGTCATTTTTCTTTCTATAACGTGTCCACTAATCACGGGTTTTTATAGCTGGTTATTTTTGTTTCTGTTCATTCCTTTTTATTTGTTCTTTTCTGAATCTGCATAACAATTTTGCGTGCAGCCAAATGTTTCATTAAGGGCGTCACTTGAACGCATAAATAAATAAATAAATAAATAAATAAAAATGACACGCTTTAACCCGATTCTTTCATTGCATGACCTGACACGCAGTCGCCTAAAGGCGGACTTCTTCCCATTCGCCTTCGACTCTGCGCCATTTGCCTTCGATTATCCATAGATTGGGGTTTTACGAGTTTGTTTCTCTTGAACCGAATCTTTGTGTGTGAGACTTTTGAAGTGTATTTTCTAGGTGAACAACCAGACCATGGGCAGGGTCAACCGTTACGTTGGACCGATATTGGAGCGACGTTGGACCGATGTTCACCGCTCTCCGCGCCGGCATTCACTCTCGCCACCCGCGAGCCGTCTGTGTCTCCGTGCGTACGTTCACTCTCGGCATTACTCTCGTCGTCGCGTTGGACTTTGTCCAACGGACGGTTGACCCTGCTGGTGTGTATGGGAAGGAGAATGAAGATTTTTCCGAGAAGGATTCTTCAAGATGACTGTAATACCTGGTTTACAAAGCTGTCGTGTGTGTTAGGGTTCATATGAGGTTCTCTAGGCCGTACGAATTTCCATGCCCAGTTTTTATTCAATTTTTTAATGCCGCAAATATGTTGAGCAAACTCAGTAGCATAGGAATGTAGATCTCTTCTCACAACATCGGACATTTGATAAGCAGAGAGGTTGCGTCTGTGGTAAGGTCTGCAGCAGAACAACAAAGACACGGTTTATGAGAAACTTTAGTTCCTGATGCCCTACTTCCGCCAAGGGAACGACGTCTGAGTGCTCTCAGTCTTTTGTGCCTGAAGACAAGGTCCGGGCTCAGTCACACTATAGTAGTCACTCCTATGGATAGAGTGTGTGGTGCGCCCTGCAGAGGTCGCGCCACCTTCGCACATCGAAGCGCGTCACTAAGACGCTGGGACTCTGGTCAAATCCCACCAAAATTAGGGTCCGCCCACCGTTCGATATCTTATCTGCGTCGCAATGTTGATCTGCTATGCTCTCTCTACTCGGACTTCTCTACCTCTCCGCGCTCACATTATCTCTCATCTCCCTGCCGCCTTTTGACTTTCTCCGCAGTGTGAGCAATGAGGCTCGCATTTCCTGTATTTTCACAATTTTTGTGGAAATCAAAATGAAACGCTCAGCCGTGGGTCATTCTGATTTCAAATGAATCGAAGAAAAACAGGGCTACGACAAAGGAATTGACCAGGATACTGTCAGTCTTTTTCTCTTTCTTCTCTTCATGACCCAAGTAGAGAAGTAGAAATAGCAGAAGCAATTTTAAACTGACCACTGAGCGTGAGACAGTATTCGCGTCAATTATTCAAAAATCAATCGACTCGGACCAATTTTGTTTTTATTCAGGTGGGGCAGGGGGCGCGTTAGTAAGAGGAAGAAAAGGATGGATGATCTGGATGATATTTCTTGGGTTCTTCTGCGGATCACTTACTGCACTGATATTTTCTTGTATGATACTGTGCATCAATCGCCGAACCTATTACTCAGATTGGTAGGTGAATTTCTCTTCACAGCAACATTGCTGTATAGGTGCTTATAAGTGAGCCCCGCAACATTTTTAGACCAATGCTGACATTAGTTACGACAAAGTACGATAAGCTAGCGGAAGGAAACCCGCCTTCAATTCCACGCGACCTACCAAACAAGCTGTATTAGAACAGTAGTGTGTTTCAGTTCCAATGCAGCCCTGAGGCAGCTGTTCCCGATAAGTATAGAGGTCTCATTGATTGCAAAATATTTGATTGAATTGAGCATGCCCTGGAACTATGGTAAATGTCGTTTTAAAAAACGAAATGAGCTACGAATATTATTGAAAGAAAATGCAGGGCACACTTTTTCAAGTTCTGGACCAGAGGGCCTCACCACTAGAACTTCCTCTCCCTGTCGCCTCACTTGCGATTACTAGGGCATGCTTAGGAACGAAAATCGTGATGTAAAAATGTAAGCACACCTTTGCTGTAAACGTGCTACTATCGCTTTCTTTGTACTGTCTATTCCCTATCTGTCTACTACCTGATTGTTTTCCTCAATTCAAATTTCGGAATTGCCCTACATTGATTTCCCGCGCGCAGAGCTACCAGAGCTCTCTCTTGATCGGTGTCTTTATAGACATTTTGCTCTCCTACACACTGTAAGCCTGTAATGTTCACCTCTGGAGGGCCAACGCTATAAATACTAGTCAGATCTCTTATTCCTACT